ACCAACATGTGTTGTCTCCGTATTACAAACGTAGGTACAACATAGGCAAAACTGTTTTGCATGGGTATAAAAAACTTTAAGGCTGTACTCTAAGCTAAGAAAGTAAGAAACTAAATGTTCACACTATAAATATGAGAAAATTTACTGTGTAACTTTGTTTTTATATTTCATAAAATTTGAAAACAATATATTAGGAGCCTTCTATTACATTTTTAAGCTTTTATACCCAACAAATAAAATTTTATTGATACTTATAGAAAAAAAACTAAACAAAATGGAAACTAAAAATGTCCATAAAAACCTCAAAATAACTCAAAATATTTAGAAAATTTTATCATGCATAGACAATGGAAATATAAATAACCAGTAAGATAATATAATTTTCTTTAATGATATGATATAATATGATTGCTACATACTGTTTAATGTTTTGACAAAAACTGAAACACTGAACCATGCATTCACACAATACTGTTTTAATCGTGAATTCGTAAACAGTTGTCAATATTTGTAATAAAAAGAAAAATTGCGAACCAATAGGCAATAAACCACGATAGTTTATAAATGATTGGTGAAATACCGAAATAAACTGAGGGTGCTGGTTTGAAGCTTGGGGGTGCTAAGCACCCCCAAGCACCCCCCTATGTGCGCCTATGTAAATGATTGGTCCTGCAGTGCATTTGGAAAGGTTTTGTAAATGTTGGTCCTCAGTTCCTCGCAATACTGTGTGAGTGTGCTTGATTTTTCGTAAAAAAAAATACTAATTCTGGTCATCCCCCTGAATGGACGTATTTTTTTAATTTTCCCTGGGTGTTAAAAAGCTATGATCCGGCGCTGTACGTAACTAACATCCGACTTTCTGTTTAAAATATTGTTTACCTACTGTTTTTGATTCAATATATTATACATACCATACTAAATCAAACTGTTCAAATACACACACAATTTGTTAAAATAAATAAATAATATTAATAGTAACAATGACATACTGCAAGTTAGGTTAAGTTAAATTATACTTTTATTAAAAACGATGTAATAGATAGGTATGTATACTAAACATATTATATTTTTTAACAAAACAACAAAAATGGCAATGTACCATATTCAAATGGATTTTAATATTGAAATCCCTATGATTAATTTTGTTAATAACATGCACTAAATAGCCTTGATCTGATCATAACAATGATCGTATATTTATTTTCTTGGAATTAATTAGGTACATTAAGACAGTGTAATTTATTATGACACCTAATTGTGTTTATAATATGTTTTTATCATTTATCATACAATAAACACACATTTATATAAATATATAGGTACTTTGGGATTTTCTATTTTTTGGAAATTAATGAACTTTATAAATATCGACTTAATAATCGAATTATCGACGCACACTTTTTTACTAACAAAAAGGGCTGGTCGCTGGTGCAATATGGATCATAATTACACGTTGAACAAAGTGCGCTGATAGTCTAGACAATCGATTAGGTAAATGGTTTTTTGACTTCAAACTTTTGGACAGACCCAAAAACCACAAAAAAGAAGTGTAAAATATGCATACTTACACCGTTGATGACTGATAGCTAGACACTCAAACTTTTAAACATTCCCGCCAATGCGCCAAGCTTTATCTCCAATCCATATCACTAACTCTTATCACAAATCCTAAACTTTCATCTTACGACTGTCGCTACTTTTATAATTTAAACGACTCTTACTCCAAAATTGGTACCCCCAAATTCAGCGAGTCTCATGGGCCAACTAGAATCTATATTTTTGATTATTCACTTATCTGCTCAACTAACGGGGTCCGCAATCCACCGCAGGTGGAGTGCATACTTGATAATTTACGCTTCGCATATGCTTACCTATGTGATTTGATGACTGATAGCTAGACAATCAAATACACATATCGACTCTACACTTTTTAACAATTTCAACAACCAAAAGCAGATGACAAACGCCTAGAGATCCTAGAGATCGTATCCATTTACAACGTTCGTGACGGATTGCTAGACGCTTAAACTTTTAAAAATTTACGCCAAAACGCCAAGCTTCATCTCCAATCCATATCACTAATTCTTATCACAAATCCTAAACTTTCATCTTACGATTGTCGCTCCTTTAATAATTGAAACGACTCTTACTCCAAAATCAGTAGATACCCCCAAATTCAGCGAGTCTCATAGGCCAACTAGAATCTATGTTTTTGATTATTCACTTATCTGCGCAACTAACGGGGTCCGCAATCCACCGCAGGTGGAGTGCATACCTGATAATATACTCTTCGCATATTGCTTACCGATGTGATTTTATGACTGATAGCTAGACAATCAAATGCACATATCGACTCTACACTTTTTAACAATTTCAACAACCAAAAGCAGCTGACAAACGCCTTGAGATCCTGGAGATTGTATCCATTTACAATGTTCGTGATGGATTGCTAGACGTTAAAACTTTTAAACATTCCCGCCAAAGCGCCAAGCCTTATCTCCAATCCATATCACTACTCCCTATCACAAATCCTAAACTTTCGTCTTACAACCTTTGAGACTTTTATAATACCAACGACGTTGTCTCCAAAATCGGTACCCACTCTCAGCGAGTTCCACGGGCCCCGAGTTTCACTTAGAGCTAGTCTAATACTATAAAATGAAGAACAGCTGACTGATAACATTGGGGGCCAATGGAAAGGAAAACGCCGGCTATAGCGAACCCATGGCGTAAAAAATGAAGCACTGCTCCGTTTCCACAGCCCGCCGGCCGTGTGCCGTCGATTCCTTATAGCGCGACCAATCGCGTACCTTCGCAGTGGCGGCGGTCGGTTTTAAAACGTTTTTCGTTATCTCCTGTTTTCCTATCATTTCGCCGATTTTCGGAAAATTAGCTGTTTTTACACGATATCTTTTCGCCCTTTTATATACTTAATTCGAAGTAACCGGTGTGCGGTTTATATTCGTGTTCAATGTCGATCAATAAATACACTCCCGACCGGACTTTTTTGCCGATTTTTTCCTTTTCTCCCACCGTTTCGTCTATTCGCACCCGTTTGTGTCCGAATCGAGTCTTTTTGAAGCCGTTTATATGCGCTTTTCCCCCAAAATCGGTTCGTTCGCCTCGCAATCGCGTTTGGAAATTACGCCGGCGACCGACCAGCCGTACGCGTATATATACATGTATATACGTGTATAATTTAATTTTTCCTTATGATTTAATAATTATTAACGGAAAACGCTTTTCACACGCCCCGTTAAATATATATATGGGAGATGCGCGTATTACAAGCGAATTATATGCGATTACATCAATGTACATCGGAAATATCGGTTTACGTCGCTCCGTAGTCGCACGGCTTAATTGTTGATGTTTTCACTGTCTTTCATATCTCAAACTGTGTCCGAGTAGGTTAGGCGTTAGGCAGGAAACACGTAGGTCTCGGGTTCAAATCCGTCGTACGCCGTCCAGGCATTGAAACCGTCAATGCCATATGGTTTACACGGCCGCCCAAATCCCGATTTTTTTTGCATTTTTTTTCACGTTATTTTTCATATAAATTAAATAATAATATAATAATACAGGAACATATCGTACATTATTATTATTTAAAGTCATTATCATTTTATATCACACAATAAATAGGTACATATTATATTTGTTTTATTAGGAATTATTAAAATTGCATATTTTTTAAAATTTCCATGATTGTTATATAAATATAGTTTGTATTTTATTTCGGTTTGCCTTGAAAGTTAATCTTGATTTTGACTTGAGAGTTGAGATGACTGACTTGCTAGACACTCCAACACGGTTTTTGACTTTACACTTTTTACATAAGAAAAGGCACCGGACATGCGAAGGCACATACCACTCTATGTGATATACCTACTATATATAGGTGATAGACGGGTTGCTCATTTTAGTTTCGTCTTAAACGGTGATGATTGACTTGATAGACACTTTAACAAATAACATGCAGGTTTTTGCAATTTTTTTTAAAATTAATATATATACACTATATGTACATGTTTATATGTATTGGTTAATATAATAGTATGTATCTAACTATCTACCAATATATTAATATTTTTTAGGAATTATAATTGCACATTTCTCAAAATGTTTATTGTTATATTATATCACACAATAAATACATATCATATTTGTTTGTATGTATATAGTTTGAATTTTTCGTAAATTATTTCGTAAGTTGTGCAGTGATAGGGTTTTCACTTATAGCCGCTTGATGTCGGGTCTGCAATCCACCGCAGGTGGATTGCCTACCTGATTTGCTGTAGCACATATAGTCCGCGATCCGACGAAGTCGGATTGCCTACCTAAGTGGCTAACTTGAAAGTTAATAGATTTTGACTTGAGATGACTGACTTGCTAGAAACTCCAACACGGTTTTCGACTTTACACTTTTTACATAAGATAAAGCACCGGTCATGCTACGGCACATACCACTCTATGTGCAGGTATACTCTATATAGGTGATCCTGGAGATCGTATCCAGCCTATCCATTTACAACGTTTGTGACGGATTGCTAGACACTCAAACTTTTAACATTCCCGCCAAAGCGTCTAGCCTTATCTCCAATCCATATCACTAATCCTTATCAGTTATCACAAATCCTAAACTTTCGTCTTACAACCTTTGCGACTTTTATAATTCATTGTCTCCAAAATCGGTACCCACTCTCAGCGATTCCAACGGGCCCCGAGTTATACTTAGAGCTAGTATTTATATATTATATCTGTGATGTGAACCGTGGTTGTTAGCTGTTATGTGATAAGGTTTTAAAGTTTTGATAATAAAACGTTAACGGACATTTTTTCGGTATTCACTTGTTGCCTGTCTCCTGTGGCTTAATATGACATTTTGTTGACTGTCGTGGTGTCGTCTTCGACTTCCCTAATTACCTTTCGAAGTTTCAGTCATCTACGACTATTTCGGTGCACTGAAGTCGTAAAATTTGTTTAAACATTTTTGAGAAATGGTACGTTTTTATTTCTGTATTTGCACGGGTCGAATTTCATTTCTTTTTTTCGTTTTGCAGAGTGACCCTGCAGTTGAACAGAGTTTGAACAATGACAACAATGAAAACAATGACGAACAACAGTACTTGGATCACATTAAAAAAATATTAGAAAAAGGACACAAAAAAATGGACAGAACCAGAGTCGGCACACTTTCATTGTTCGGCATTCAAATGCGTTACAATTTGATGGACGGTAATAAATATTAATACAGTTAGTTGTCAACGATCACTTGTTACAGTTTTATAAAAACGTTTGATTCTTATTGTTAAGGTGTTTTTCCACTGTTGACAACAAAAAGGGTATTTTGGCGTGGTGTCGTCGAAGAATTATTATGGTTTATTAAAGGCTCGACAAATTCTAAAGAACTGTCCGAAAAAGATGTAAAAGTTTGGGATGCAAACAGCACACGTTCTTATTTAGACTCGATTGGACTTACTAATCGTGAAGAAGGTAATTTTGAGGTTTATTATTATAGCCACATTACAATGATTTCTGAATAATTATGATGTAATTTATAAGTTATAATATTTATATCTATGTCTCATTCGAACATAATTTAAGTTTAGTTATTTCCATATATTATACTTATTTTATTAACTCAAAATAACTAAACAACTTATTCAGGTGACTTGGGACCTGTTTATGGATTTCAATGGCGACATTATGGTGCCGAGTATGTAGATGTGCATACTGATTACTCAGGAAAAGGTATTGATCAGCTTCAAAACGTCATCAATACAATCAAAACTAACCCTGACGATAGGCGAATGCTTATGATCGCATGGAATCCATGTGATGTACCTAAAATGGCCCTACCACCGTGTCATTGTCTGGTACAGTTTTTTGTCGCCGATGGCTATCTGTCGTGTCAAATGTACCAACGATCAGCAGACATGGGTCTAGGAGTACCCTTTAATATTGCCAGTTATTCGTTACTTACATACATGATAGCCCATGTCACTGGATTAAAAGTAAGTATCAAGTCGTATTTGATACAAACCACTTGAGAATCTTATTCTAAAAAAATTGGTTTATATTCAAATTAAATATAAAATCCATTTTTTAGTAAATTACTATTATAGTAATGATAATAGTCACTATTACTATAGTAGTCAATTAGTCACTACGAGGTTAGTTTAGTTTATTAGTCATAGATGTAAAAATGTATTAATTTAATGGACCAATTATTAATGATTTTTTTTAAATATTCATGCAACCCATATTAGTGTTGAAACTGTAGTACAACATATCTATTATTGCTATTATCTATGTAATTGTATTTAATTGTTTTTAAAAAATATTTTATTATAGCCTGGTGAATTCATTCATACACTGGGTGATAGTCATATCTATCTGAATCATGTCGATGCACTCAAAATACAACTTCAAAGGAAGCCCAAACAATTTCCCACGCTAACTATCAATAGAGAAGTCAAAAGCATAGACGATTTCAATTTTAGTGACTTTACATTAAGTGGTTACGTTCCGTACCCGAAAATATCTATGGACATGGCTGTATAAAGAGGATATAGAGAATTTACACGCATGAAATCAACATATATTTTAATAAAATAGTTTATATTAATTAATTTAAGTTGTATACATGCATACATCATTTTTGTTCAAATAACAGTTGAACAACGTATACATAGAATTGTAAATTAAATATTTATATAAGACGTCCACAGCTTTTAGATAATTTAAAAAATAAAATGTAAGCGTTTGAGCAGTACTAATTATGGCATTATTTTGTTTAAGATATAAATAATGTAAACCAATAAAATAATATGTAAATATGAGAACTGTTAAAATAAAATATATAATATATACATATTTGTTTATGTATATAAAATATTTACTTAAAAAATGCGAAACATTGAATTTTTTTTTAAAAATGTCTTATTATATTTTAATAAAACTAGTTATACTTACAGAACTAGTTAGTTATGTAACAAAAAATATATATTGTCATGACAAAACAATAAAATATAAACTGTACAATTTATATAACAGACACCTGATCATGACATAATGTAACTTGAATTTTGAAAAATAATTTCATTTGACAAAACAAAAAAAATTAAATTAAATAGAGTTCTTAATTACTAATTTTATGTTGAAATCATAATTTTATTTCCACCTTTAAATTACTTCTACGTAATTAAAGGTTTATTTAAAACTATTTATTATTAAAATAATGTTTGTAACAAAATTAAAAATTATTATATCCAATGTTCAATAATGTAACAAGTTGAGTCTCAAATCACCAAATTTATAATCACAATACATCACTTTCCATATTTGTTTGAGTCTGATCAGTGTCCTTAAAAAAGAAAAATAACATGAGTCAATACAAGATAAATAATATAAGCAATTAAACAAATATTAATGCCGCCACATAACTTAACAGCTAACTTGAAATAAAATGTTTACATTTATATTAACATACTTTAAGGCATCAAAATTAGAACTTTTTAGATTCTGAGTGGAACGATGAATGTATTGATTTTACAATGTGTTTTTTTTTTATTTGTTATTTTTGTGTCTGTCATCATGTTTTAGGTCAGTAAAAGTGCTTGGATTTTCTTCAAAAGTATCTTTTCTGATAGAAAAGTGAATCTAGTTGGTACTTTGGGGGGGTCAAAAGTAAAAATTTCCCATTAGTTTTCAAAAGGGCAGTGAAAAACAAAAGAAAAATTAAGGAAAAACGGGAGTTTTTACGCAAAATCTGTTTTCGAAAAAATCGATTTTGGTTTTTGGTACAACTCTTAAATAAATTACCGTAGGTACATGAAATTTTGACTGAATGTTTAAATTAGCAATTTTTTTAAAAGATTTAAATTTAACATTAAACTGTTTAAATATATTAAAATAAGAATTTCTTAAAAATGACCTACTCGGTATTTGTACTTTAGGGCAGACTGATTTTATCGTATTTATCGTACTAAGTACCATTTATAATTATTTTAAAAATTAAATATTTGATAAGTCAACTACTATAAATTATAATTAGGATATTAAAAAAAAAATAAACAAAATTGCACATTTTAATTGGTCTTCGTTCTATATTTATATCAATATCGCTATTTTATAACTATCTCATTATAACTAAATTGTATAATATTATTTATATTCAATTATCTTGATGATAATTATATCAGGTAGATAGACTAATGAGTATATTGTACTCAAACTCGAGTTGCCACTCGTTGCCTTTTTACGCATATCCACAACGTTATAATTAAAGTTAGGGAGCAAGTCCTCCGTAGATAAGTGACCTAACAAGCAAACTAATAAGTAACACAAATGACTCATGTCTTTAAACTCATTGTACCACCAGGGCACCAGGCTTGATGGCCAGTTAAAGTATACACTTGTTATAGTGGCTCCTTCGCCTGTATGGGCATCATAGTATATGGGCAGTGATTACACAGTTTGAGGCACTCGTCGGCGCAAATTGAAAATATCCCTCGACTTGCTATGCAACACCACCTTAAGTAGGTCACAGGGTAATTACTAGTTGGGTAACGAGCACAGGTGCCGAGACCATCCACAGAATGCTAATATGCCTCCAGGAGAAAATTTAAGTATAATAAGTGAACCTATAGTGGCTCCATTCGCTAAACTCTAGTACCTCCGCGATGCATTAAAGTAGTGTTGCACGCATGCGTATAAACGTAAAATCACAAACTTTGGAAGGCTATAACTTCCAAAATAATGGTTTCCGCACAAAAATTCAAACAGTTTCGAAATCAGCGTTGAAAAACACGTCTTTTAAAAAAGTAATTTCGAAATTCGTGAGGGGCGTGGTAAAGTGCATTTTAGCCGTAAACCTAGGTATATTGTAGGTATTATAACTAGTAATTATTAACTATGGCACATGAGAAAACAATTAGAGTTACAATAAGGTATGACTATATTTCATTCTTGCTTGCAGGTAAGGGCCCCGGTCTAGAAATGTTCACATGGGCCCCTTATTATGGAGTTATGCCACTCATTGAGTACTTACTTGATTTTCCGGTTGGTTTTGCTGTGATGAAGAAAAAGGATTTAAAATATTTGGTTGGCTTTGCATTGGAGAACCCAAATTAATGCTTTCAACCAACTGTCTAGATAGTTCATTTTGAAATGAATCATTGTCTTCTACTTGGACTAAAGTCCAAATTGTATCTATATTAAATCAATATACTTCATTAATATTGAATATCAAATATTATTATACAACAAAAATCTATTAAATCAAATTGTATATGAATATTAAAATTCTAAAAACGAACATTCAGGGTTTATCAGTTAAAGTATATTTCTTAAGTTTACCAAATAATTGAGTATCTACAATTTTCATTCTAAAGAATGTCTTATAAATAATTTAATTATCACAAAATTTAAAATTTGGGACATTGTACAGAATGTTCATAATATGATATCAATAATTCTTTCATTCATAGTATCAAATAATAGTGTGCTAAGTTTCTATGAATTTTTTTTTTTTGAGTAGTGTTTGTTATTATTTATATTGATGCAAAATATTTGTTTTCTTTCTCAAACCCACACGCAACATAGATAAAAAAATTTCATTTAAAATCGTTATTTTTTTTTATGATTTTTGAGAAATCTAATTGTAAAATCAACTATTACATAAATTATAGAAGATAATATTTTTAATGGTATGACATCAATTTTATATTTCATTGTTAATTGTTATTTGACTATCAAAATGAACAAATATTTTTGTAAGTTTAAATTATTTTGCGACAATATTTAGACAAATCGATATGTCATATAGTATATACTCAAAAATATTGTTATCTATTGTTTTTGTAATGTGGGACTTTACACTAAGATTAGTCAAAAACATAAAAAAAAATGATTTTGCGCGTGTCAGAGAGAGAAAACAAATAGTGCACTGGCATCCACTTAATAAGATGAAGTAAGATAATTAATACATGAAAGATTTGAAGAACAAAAAAAACAAATATATTTACCACCAAAATATGTTCCCGTTGGCAACATCATACGCCATTTAGACTGGTACGATCCTGGTTTAGAAGGTGTTATAAAATCAGTACTCAGTGTCATGGTACACCCAGGTTCAAGCGTTGTTGTCGGCAACGAAGTGTAAACAGAAATGGAGTCTCCTCCGTTGAACTGAAGAGTACAACCGGGTGGCCACGTCATGCGACCATTGTTCTTGACTTCCCAAGATTTGGTGAACCTGTAGTGAACACAACAGTGTATATGAGGACATGAATATAAAATAAAATAATATAAATTATGATGATTGTTTTGTCTATAAACTATTGCTGGCGCAATGCACACACTACCGTAGATTTGGTGGCAACTGCAAGACATTTTCACTGTTTTCGTCTCTCACCAAAGACATGGACGGTATTGCCCCTTCATTGTTAACATCAAAATATGTACCGACAGCCCTGTGCATGTTCCTATCACACAAACACACAAAGTTAATAATATGTCACTATAATAATAATTAATAATATTGTCTGAAAGGTGTTTTGTGGTTGTTCCGTACAAACATTGAGAAAGATCTCATCATGTTTGTCGGCAGAAAACTTCAATAATCATATAGGCGTAGTAGAGTTGCCATATTTTATTTTACTTAAACAGGGACGTATGGCAACCTTAAGTTCCTTAAGGAATCCTACAGGCCACATTCGTAAAACGTCACATCGCTATTTGATATACGCAGGGCCGGATTTAAGGTTGTGGGGGCCCCAGGGCCCACATAAGATTGAAATATAAGAATTTTTTGTTGATCTACATGCTTTAAAATTATATTACTGATGGGTTATTCCCTCATCATGCTATTAATTTCTTATCATATCAATTTTGCTTATTGGACATAATTAATACAGATTTATAAAATGTCAATACAATTAATAAGTAAATACAAGTAACCTTTAAAGTTATCTCTTTTCATTTTTCATATCCCAATCTAGTGATTCGTTTAATTAAATAGAATATTTTTTTGCAAATTACTAGAAAAATTAAAAAAAAAAAGGTAATTATTTAGTGGGGGCCTCTTATTAATTGAATCTTGTGGGGGCCCCGTGGCCCCCTCTAAATCCGGCACTGGATATACGTTGTAAAAGTTTGTACAGAAAAACACTCTGTATGACAACAAGCCGAATTCGTATAGACCTATTGGTACCAAAGTGTCGACATTTTGATCGAATTTTATTTGCCCTGCAGGTCAAAAGTCAAAACCTTTCATATTTTTCCTAATTTCTATGGAAAGTTTAAAATATAATATTGAAACACTAAAGGTTAGAGACGACGTATATTCGCGGGCTACGTGTTGATCTCGTCGGATTTTCGGTGGTCTTTCTTTTTTTTTTTGCCGAACCGTCGCGAACGTCGCTGATAAAGCGTGCGAGCGTGTCTTCGGTACGGCGCCATCTCTGCTGTACGGACGTTAATGATGGACGTTTTTGTCGACATTTCCACTTACCAGTCGTTCATCTCCAGGAAGAACACCGCCGCGGACTCCGTCAGCTGGTCGCCGATCAGCTCTCGCAGACCCTTGACCAGATTCTCCTTGTCCGTCGTGCACAGACAGTTGAACTGGCGCAAGAGGTTCTGGTCCAGCGGGTCGTTGTCTACGTCCATTTTTCGGCGCTGTCCACACGGCCGGACGAAACGATAATTCACGGCAAGCGTTTGGAAAAATCACAATTTAGGTCACACGAAAACGCATTAAAGGAGATTATTTTTCTGAGATTACGCTCTGTTCCTCCGTGCCCGCGACGTCTGTCCACTGATATTTATTTTGTTATTATTATTATTATTATAATTATAAATCGCGGAGTTGATTGATAATGTGATTGTGTGTGGTGGTGGACGGTTGAGATGGCGGTGAATGGTGATACACACGACACAACTATACTTACGATTTGATCGCGTTATTTCGTACCGAGTTGTCCGGTAGGCGTCGCTCGCGTCTTCCGTAAATCGCATAAATATATCGCGATCGCCATATTATGTACTATTTTAATTAAAGTAATATTTTCTTTATACGTTGTACATTTATAATTTATACTCCATGATCTTAGAACCTAGCGGCCTAGCCTATGAGTTACGAGTATGCCTAAATGCCCTATGCCCCTATGGACTATGACCTATAGGCCGAGGCGAACCAACAGCGTCAAGTTTTCAAAGATGTGGTGGCGCCAAAAGTCCATCCTATAAGGTCTGGCAACACCCCGACCTCTCCTCCACATTTAATTTATATCAAAACTACCTATGTCATCTTATAAGTAAATAAGAGTAGATAATAAATATTAGAGTAGTGTGTGTGGGGTGATGGGGGGGGGGTTATGCTTATGGTGGTAGACGGTTATGTCTGTATACTTATGAAATTTCGTCATTTAAAATTTAAGTTCGGCCTGGCATCGCCCATAGGGCCATCGGCTATAGCCTATGCCCTATAAATATTCCTTATAGGGCATAGCTAGATCAGTGGCTATAGGTTTACCACAGGACAGATGAAAGAAGAAAAATTTAAATTTAAAATATAAAATTTTATCATAACGATACCACGTCGTATCTCATCCGTAGACGCGCAGATCGAACTGTGGACTTTCAATATTATTATTATATTTTAATTTCTCATATAAGTAGATAACAATCTACAACCATGATTACCAAAGTCCCAATATCTATCCCCAAGCCTAATCGTATTTACTATTCATTTTCTCTTAATTTTTTAGTTATTACTGTCGTGTCTCAGGACATCGGGACATTTGACTAGAAAACAGGACAGCCCTGTTGGATTGGATATTTTGTAGGGGATATAGTGGTTGTAAAAAGTGGGTACCTATATAATTATAATATTATGTATATACTGCAGAATTGCAGCATCCATCAATAATTCGATATACATATTACAAGACTTATAAACCGTATCAGTGGCGCCGAACCTTTTTTAAACCACTGGGGTAAACCTTGTTTAAGGGCACCCACCTACCTATCTTTTATACATAAAAGCAGTCACTCATGACCCACCCCCCCCCCATTTACTAAAAATGTTCTGGGGTATTTACCCCGCTTCCCATATGTGTTCGACGCCACTGAACCGTATTACTTATAGTAATAAAATATATATCTACCATGGGCGAATATGCTTACATGGAAACCGGACATTTCCCGGTGGGTGGAAACCCACTTCGTATTTCAGCAATGGGGCCTTTTTTATGGTTAACGCGATGACTTATTAATATAATAATATCATACAATTACAATAGAAATTTGAAATATTATATTATTATAATCTTTAAATCTTATATAGTTATATCTATAAATCTATTACTATTCTGCGGAATTTTACAAGAGATTTCTTATCGCCTATCGGCCCGCAGCCGCCACTCTGCCACCAACTCCAACTACAACGTCGTTTACCGGTTGGAGGCGGGTGTGGTCACGGTTGTGAGTTGGGATTGTGAAGGTGGGTATAACTCACAAATATTCTAAAAATAATCTAAAAGATATTCTGAACAAAATCGATTCTGAAGACATCATAAATAAACTAGGAACTATAGGAGCATTAGGAGCCCAGTATTTGGTAAAATGTTATTATTTAACAAATTAAAAAAATAAATAAATGATTTTAAAAATGTGTTTTGTTGTACATTGCTTTCTTTTCATATGGTAGCTCATATAATTCACCAAATAATGTACTAGCGAGCGAAGTGAGCTTGTTTTTTTTTTCATGTGGGCCAGGGGGCCCCTTTTAATAATTTCCCGGTAGGCCAAAAATCGCATCTACGTATAATTTTTTATATCACCAAGCTCAACTCAAATATGCATGACAAAAACAATTAAATATTTGGTTTATTATGTTTTCAACGCATAATAATATATTATGCTGTACATTTTATTCGAATACTTAAGAGCAGGTAATTTTGATTAAAAAATGATTATTTGAACACGGAAGACATTCCAATTTTCAGGAGTCGATAACGTAACTCATGACTAAACAAATTTATTTAGTCATGACCTAACTATTGTTTACGTATTGTTGTTTGGCGGGAGGGGGATAAGTGGTCTCAAAGGTTCTGACACTTAAATTTTTTTTCTTTGATTTAATAGCATCTTACGATTAGTTACAAAGTTACTTTATTATTACATAATATCTGTGACTGAGATGACCGATGAACACGTCTTGACAACACTACTACCTTATAAAGTATAAACCATATTTCGATTGTTCTGTGCTTAAACCGTGATTCGTGACACCGTCACACTGATGAATTATCAAAAATATGATGAATGATGATAACGATAAACGACCGGCGATAAGCAATAAGCACAGTAGTTCTGTCCACGACTACTACACCGCCGGTCGCCGCGGGTGACGTCAAGTCGCCATCTTTATCTTATCTGGGAGTTCCCACTACGCGTATCATTCCGATAGAATCCGAAAAAGTAAAAAAAAAATTAATACGAAACTACGTTCGTAATAAAAAAAAACCTATAATTATTTATTGTTAATATTATTTTTTTCCTTTTATCTGACCCGACCAACGATTGCATATTTAGTACGTTATTTTATTTTATTATTACTATGTGACCGATGATTTCGCACTGTATAATGTATCGATCGATGCTATAATATTATTGTTGTTGTGGTGTGAATATATCTGTGGACTGTGGATCAAGGCTCATCACGACGACGGACTACTACTGACCATAGTCATGTCTCGGCTAGCGGATTATTTCGTGGTCGTAGGCTATGACCACGAAAAAGAACGTAAGAAATCCTTTGTGTAATTAATTTAACCATCACTTATGACTCTATATTTTTCGTTCAACGATCTATTTTCGTCGAATGTACGCCGTTAACGTATATTGTTTTATTAAGACACGATTCGCTTCGTTCGTCGAAAATTGTGTATTTTGTGGAAGCCTATGCAACTTGTAGTTTGCTACCGCCCGCCATTTAAGCGTCCCTGATCTTAATTTCTTCCCAACATTTTTTTCTTCGACAGGTAGCGGGACCAGTAAAGGTATGATTATCCAGCGGTTTCCAGAAAAAGACTGGAAAGACACTCCTTTCATTGACGGAATTGAATGGGTAATTACTATCCGGATTTAAAATGATTTTCTTCAATACTCTTTATAAATGAAAGGATTTGGTTAATTTTATGTCTAGTACCTATTTAAAAATTTACTATTTTTATAGTTTTGTCAACCACAAGGATGGTCTTTGTCATCAGAGCGACAAGAACCTAGATTTTTTGTGTTTGTTCTTACTGATGTAGAGGCTGAAAGACATTATTGTGCTTGTTTATGCTTTAACGAAACAGTATCAATTACACCTAGTAAACCTGTTGATGAGGCAAGTAAAATTGATTATATTTTTAACTAGGTAATTTGTTATTATTTAGTTTATCATAATAAATGTAATAATTTTTCGAATATCATAAATATTTTACAATTTGTAATTAAAATAAAGCATATTAATATATCAGTGAACTTACCTAACAAAATTAAGATACTGGTTTGGTAAATAAAAGATAAACAAAGTATATTTTTGTTTTAATTGATTGTATAGTTATTAGTTAGATCATTAGTTTGTATAATATGTTTTTAACATATTATATTTAAAATGTATAAAATGTGATTAAATTGAATGTTATTATGGAAACCAAATTAATTTAATTAATGTGTAAATCAATTGAAGACAACTTTCTTATTAATTAAGATAATAATATCAATAGCATAATTATATTTAATAATGCTTTGAAATATTCTAATTATTTGTATATGTAGGAAGAGGATGGTGTTGTGGAAAACATATCACTTTCAAGAAATAACCACTCAAATCAAAGACAACATCACAGCATTATGTATGCACCAAAGTGTCTAGTTTTGGTTTCGAGATTAGATTATATTGAAACATTCCGAGTAATACAATTTTAAATACCTACTTAATGTATTGTACTAATAATTAATATTAATTATAAATTTATGAAATATTTTCAGAATTGTTTAGGTATTATTTACACCGTTTATGTAGAAAACGTAGAAACTCCTATAGAAACATTAGTAGGAAATATGTTGGGTTGTGTTCAAGTTCCTCAGCCAGGAGGACCTCAAGTGCGCTTTAGCATAGGTGCAGGGGATAGACAAGCGCTACAACCTCCATTATCTCAAACATTACCAGTAACCAAGAATGCAGTATATCTATTATTCCAAGAACTCGGTAATTTAATGTTTTGTTTTGAACTACATTCAATCCGCATAATATTATAAGTTATTGTTTACCCCAATTTAAAATGTTTTTCTGTTTAGGAATTCACAATGTTGTTGTATTATTCTGTGCTATTATGACTGAACAAAAAGTTCTGATGACTTCTAGAAGTTATAGCAGACTCACTGAAGGTTGTTCTGCACTAATATCTCTTATGTATCCATTCAAATATAGCCATGTTTATATACCATTGTTACCTGCTGGTTTAGTTGAAGTATTGTCCACACCAACACCATTTTTAATGGGCGTACATGCTTCTCTTAAAACTGATGTTTCTGAACAAGTAAGTATACCAAATTAATTATAGTTTTAAATTTACATTTCTGAGCTATACATTTGAATTATGGTGGCTTGTAGATGGATGTGATAGTAGCTGATTTGGATGGTGGTAGTATTCTTGTACCTGACGGTATAAGTTTACCTTTATTGCCTGAACCACTATTAACGCAAACTCAAGATTGCTTAAGTCTAGTGTTACAACCAGAATTGTGTTGTGCAGACCATGCATTCCCTCCGACTTCTAATACTGTTCAACCACCACCCCCTACACTAATTGACAAAGAAGTGAGAGCAGTTTTTATGAGAACATTTGCTCAATTACTTCAAGGTTATCGTTGTTGTTTAACTATAATAAGGATACATCCAAAACCAGTCATCACATTTCATAAAGTAAGTTATTATAAGAAATAAGTTATATTCACAAATAATAAGTATTTTAAAAAAAATAAATATTTCTAGGCTGCATTTTTAGGCGAAAGATGTCTAATAGACGATGAATTCACAACTAGGGTGTTAGACTGTATGTTTTTTAATGGTTTTGTTACGGAAAGAGGTCCTGCTTGGCGTTCTTGTGATCAATGGGATGAGTTATATTGCAATATGAATGAATTACTTCGAACTGAAGCATTAGATGATGGTCGTTTAGTTCTTACTCATATTCAGGTATGTTATTTATTTTCATATTTTATCCAAGTCCTTAAAGATCAAAACATTTAATATATATTTCTAAATTAATCATATTTATGTTATTAAGAGGATGTCACATCGATACCTTATGATGTATCTGTCTTACAAATGTACAACATAGTACATTTTACTTTAAAAATAATCTATTTTACTCTAATATTTTTAAAATTATAAAAAATCTAAAGGTACAATTATTACCTTGGGCTTCTCTTAGACTTTTATTATTATATTTTCATTTTAAAGCCTATGTGATGCCTTAGATAATAATCTTACCTTTAAATTTTATCATGACGTGACCCATTTATGTAGTCAATTCACTCTAATTTTAGAAATTACAAAGTAAAATATATTATCGTGAATGTTCAATTTGACATGTACGTTTATAAGACAGAGAAAACATAATTTTATGCAAGTGGGGCGTCCTCTTAAATAGTAATACAATTAATATAGATCATTTTTAGAAGTAATATGATTCTATAAACATTATAAAAATAGTTAGTTTATGTTTTGTTTTTAAGGCTTGTCAATTTACTTTGACATAAGTTGTTAATAATATATATTTTTGAATATTTAAAAATTATATTCTTGTAAAATATGTCATATTTTTTAATGTACATTTAACTTAATTATTTAATATGTTTTAGGAATTAGCTCAAGCTTTGTACTTAAATGAAAATCCCAATCCACAACCATATGTTCAAAAAATCTTGAAACCTCCTGAAGGGGCATTTACTAGAATACATCAACCTCCATTTCCAAAACTTGATGCCAATTGTGTTCAGACAATTATTGATGATGGCTTGATTAAACATAATTTAAACTCAAAGTTAGTATTTAACCAATTTATATCATAATTAATTTTAATTATTATTATTATTATCATATATTATGACAGACTTTCATCAATTAAGCCAACACCACCTCGTATAGTACCTATGGGACCTCCAATAACAAATTCTAATGATCTGAGAACAACTGTTAGTAATTCGGCTAGGCGATTAGAAGTAAGTTTTATAATTTTGAAAAACATAAATACATAAAATAATATGTACAAATTTAATTCCAATTTTAGGTACTACGAAACTGTGTAAATTGTATATTTGAAAATAAAATTTCGGATGCACGTAAAACATTTCCAGCTGTGTTAAGAGCATTGAAATGTAGGGCTGCAAGATTAGCTTTATGCACAGAACTTGCACAACATGTTCAAGGGAATAAAGCTATGCTTGAACATCAACAATTTGATCTAGTTGTACGATTAATGAATTGTGCTTTACAGGTATGGTTATTGAAATTTTAAATTGTGTATATACTATATACTACCATAAAAAATTTCCCGCCCGACGTTTTCCAGGCCAAAGATTTGTATTTTTAATAAATATATATGTACAAAATGTGTATACCGTATTTCTTCTAATTATAATATTAAATATTAATATAATATGTAACAAATTGCAACCATTTAGATTTGACAAAAAAAATCATGTGTGAGCTACCCTTTATCTATTTACAGCCTATATGATTTAAAAAATCAAGCTGTATAAGTACACCCTCCAATTTTCAATTTCCTATATTTCTACCATAACCAATAGTAACCATTTATAAACAAAAATTTCGATCTTAAATCTCTAAATACCTGTTTGAGCACCTTGCCGGGATGAACCAACTGGGTCTAATTGTGAATCTAAACCATTCAGGGACTCACTCACAAATACAAAAAATGTCCAGTAGTTTAGGAGGAGTTCAATGACATACAGAAAAACATTTAGATTAAGAGATTAAACAAAAAACTACTTTTATTTGGATAGTAAAATTTATTTATTTAAAGTTTTGCTTTAAAGTACATTATATAAGTTTAAATTAACATATATATATATACAGTGGCATAGCCAGAATTATGAAATGGGGGGTGTTTAAGTATAGATTAAAACCAAGTTTTTACAGTTTTCGTATATAAATAAATTTAGAATTCAGGACTTGACTTGCTGCACTAAAAATTATCGAAATATGCAGTCAAAATTTTCAAAATATGCTTAAATATATGCAGCTACATTTTTATGATATTTTTGAAAAATTCATAAAACATTTAACAATTATTGTAACAAAAACTAAAAAATAAGTAGGTATATCAACATGATAAAAATAATTTAAACACGGGTATTCAAATTTTAATATAGGTAGGTACCTATATTGATTAATATAATGGACGGAGGACACTATTGCATGTTTTGGACATTTTTAAACTATTGTGAATTAAAACTTGATTTTTAAAAATACTGGCATACAATACTAGGATAATAAATAAGTAATAATGAATAACGTGATATGTGAAAACCGTGATAAAAGAACGTATCTACTGATACTGATCTGTTGACTGATTTCTTGGTACAATCTAGAATCTATACCCCCCGCGGAATAAGAAGATGACTCCTCGGCGGGCCGTTTTACGTCCGTTTCGCACAGTCGGTTTTTGATTGGTTCCCCGTTGGTTCCCTGAAACCCCCAGAAGTGGTCGCAAGGACAAGCGGTGTGGTGGAGGAAGTTGTTTTGCCTGCGCGACCAGTCATCTTCTTATTCCGCGGCGGGTATAGATGTCAATTATAGTTTTAACATAGTCTTGTCACAAAGAGACTTATAAAATCTTACGTACTATATGCAAAAATAGGGCCAACCGTAGTTAAGCTCCACCAACAACTTAAACAGCCCTCCCAAACATTTACTAAAATTTTTTAAGCTTATTCAATTTTATAACAGTATGATTTTAGGCTTCGGCTTCCCCAAATCTCAAAATTAGCGCTTATTTAACCTAACCAAACATAATATTTTTAAAGATATTTTTCAATGAAATCCAAATATGATTTTTCCCAACAATTGTATGTACCTACATTTAAGTTAAAAAAATTCAAAATATGCACAAATATGCTAAAAATCGTTCAAATGTACACTTTCCTACAATATACAAAAATATGCAAATTCAAACTAAGACAAAAAAATTTCATAAGACAAATTTATAACTTATCCAAAATAACTTACTACCACTACAATAAAACATGCAAGCAGTCCCGAACCCTTTAACCAATATATTTATTAGGGGGGAAATGTCAATATTGGTGTTTAAACACCCCCCCCCCTGGCTACGCAAATGTATATTTATATAATTTAAATGTGTTACAAATAATAATTTTAAAAATAAATAAATTTAATAATGAATGAATTTAATTAAACATTATACAAGAATATTATCTATAACTTAAAAATTAATTAATAATTTATTATCAGGACGGCTCAGCTATGGACGAATTTGGTATAGCAGCAGCTCTCTTGCCTTTAGCAACTGCATTTTGCCGTAAACTGTGCACTGGAGTAATACAATTTGCATACACATGTATTCAAGTAATTCTATTTTTTATTTCAACTATATTTTTATGTTTATTTATAGTATAGGCTATGACTTAATTTGTTATAATTAATTGTGTAATATAATAGGATCACCTAGTTTGGAAAAATCAACTATTTTGGGAATCTGCTTATTATTTAGACGTACAAAGGGACATTAAATCTCTTTACTCTGACAATAATCTCTCAAGTCATAAAAGATCTTCATCAATGAATCTATCTAGTCCCCGTGAAAATCACGTAATATAATTAAATAGTGCACTGAATATTATTTTGTTGAAATTGATTAATTATTATTTATTTTAGAACAAAGATAATATTTTAAATGACAGATTTAGTCGTTCACAAGAACTATCTGCTTTAGAAATAGCAGCTGAACAAATGAGGTTACGTCCATCAAACAATTCTGGTAATGATAAATATTTAAATAATACTTATAATGAATGTTTATAATTTAACTGATTTACATTTTTATTTAGATAAACTTAAGGAATATATTTCAAGTGAAGAATCAACACTGTACAGTCAAGCTATTCATTATGCCAACCGTATGGTATATTTACTTGTTCCATTAGATGTAGGGGGAAATAATGTTAAGAGTTCGTCGAATCATCAATCATCTAATAGAAATATAGATGATGAAAGAACATCTAACAGTATAACAAATAGGTATTTATTTTAAAATGTTGTTTTTGTTTTTATTAATTAAATTAATGTTTTTTTTAGTGCTGTTGATAGGTCAGGTAGTGTATGTGAATCTGATGTAGAAAGTGGTTTTGCCGAACCAGAACCTAATGAAATTGGTAACAAAGTCATTAAAATGGTTAGCCGTTTTGTCGATAAAGTGTGTACTGAAGGAGAAGTTAGTGAAGAACATATTCGTGCATTACATCAAATGATTCCAGGTGTGGTACATATACATATTGAAACATTAGATGGTGTCAATAGGGAGTCCAAGCGATTGCCACCCATACAAAAAGTACTAATAAATAATTAAAATTAACAGTATTAATTGTAATAATATAGCATACTAATATTAATAAATTGTTTTAAATATTTAGCCTAAAATATTGACACCCAATATGCTGCCAGGAGAAGAACCACTGATGGATGGCTTAAGAGTTTATTTGTTACCAGATGGTAGAGAAGAAGGTCTAGGAGGATTAGTTGGTGGACCACCTCTGTTACCTGCGGAAGGAGCTATTTTTATTACAAATTATCGTATAGTATTTAAAGGAACTCCTTTGGATCCTTTTGCTTGTGAACAAATTGTAGTAAGATCATTTCCTGTAACATCTCTAACCAAAGAAAAACGTATTACAGTTCAATATTTGGCACACTTAGACCAATGGTTGCAAGAAGGTCATCAGTTTAGGTCTTGCACGTTCCAGGTAAGAAATAATTTTTGAAATATTTTACTTTGATCATACAAAGTTTATAACTTAAATTCATTTTAGTTAATCAAAGTCGCATTTGACGAAGAAGTAAATGCCGAAGATATTGAATGTTTCCGAAAATTTATACACAAAGTACGACATCCTCCAAATGTATTTAATCACTTTGCATTTACAGGCCAAATTCCAATTTATGAAATGCCCATGACGAATGATAAAGAAAAAAATGCCACTCTCAAGTAAGTTTTAGTTTTTCAACTCATAATTTGTGAGTGATTTTTATTTTTTTTGTTTTTATTTAGGGGCTTTGCAAAAAAAACTTTAATGAAAACTGCTCGTAAAGCAGGTTTCAAGCAAAAGAGTTCATCCAAACGTCATAAATATGTGTTGCCTAACATATCAAATAGTTCAATAAACAAGGCTAACAAATATATGACTACTCCTGGTCGGATGACCCTTCCTCCTTTTAACAATCTTGATGACTTATCTGGTATGTTAAATTCTTCACTCAAAGAATTTTATTATTATTATTATATATTGTATACTTTTTATTTTACAATTTTTCTTTTAAATTGTGTATTAATTAGAATTTCTGTTGTCATAATATTATATTTCTCGATATTATAAATTATTAATACATAACGCTTTTATGAGGACGTTGTTCCCACGTGTGTTGTACTGTTGTCTCTGTCGTACACACTTACAACATCGAACATTCTTGTTCACCAGTTTCAATAGTGTGCTGCTAGTTTGATATTAGAGTGAATGATCTATTATCAACTTTATGTAAGGTCATTATCTGTGTTTTCACATAGGTTTTTTTACAATATTTAAATTTTTTGGTGAATTATGAACATTTTCAAATATTAATATTTTACATACTTATAACTCACTAAAAATTAAAATAACTTGAGATCACAGCTATTGAACTGGTGAACAAAAATTGTCTATGTGGTACGTGTACAATTTATTGAACATACATTTTTGAAAACCATTTTGTTTACAAAATTGAAAAATGTATGCCTCAAGCATCTGCCCAATATTTTACCCTTGCAACTTTAATTTATTTTAATGTTAATGTTTTATTTTTATCCAGTGAATGAATTAGATATCAATGTGATGAATACTTCCAACATTGTTTCTAATGTTTCTGATCCAAAAACATTGGAACGAGTAACCGAAAGGAGTTATGTACGAGATTGGATTAGACTAGGCCTTGCACCTAAAAATACTAGTTCAAATAATATTGGTCAGAAAAATAATAATAAAGAGCCATTTAAAATCACCACACTAAATTCAGCATATTTAATGTGCCGCAGGTAAATATTTTTCGATTTATATTGAACAATAAATTACGAGTTATTTTATATACATTAAAAACTTTTTTGTTTAAAACAAATTTAGTTATCCTGCACTCTGGGTGGTTCCATCAATTATTTCAGATGATAGTGTTCGAAGGTTTTATCGAAATTATCGTCATAGTAGAGTACCAATAATCACATGGCGTCACCAGCGAACATCGGCATTATTATTACGAGGTTCAGGGTATCATGGAAAAAATCTTATTGGGATGCTGAAGTCAACACATCCATCGTCAACAGGTATTTTTTCCATAAATGTCTAATGTAATTATCCACTTAAAATGATTTTTGATTTAAGTATTGTAATTGTATGCCATTTTATTTCTAGGTACATTGAATTCAGAGAGTAATTCTTCCGTAGAACAAGAAAGATACTTATCAGCTATTGTTGCTTCGACTCCTTTATCAACTCTACGTAATAGTGGTGCTGCTTGGGGATTATCAGATAGTAGCCTTAGTATAAATTCACTTTTGTTGGCTGCGGATGAAGATATTCTTTCACCAGATATTTCACGCAGGTATTATAAAATTACTTAAACTAGCCAAAATCTTTTTTTTTGATACATTTTTCCATAAATTAACTAGCATCATATTACATGAAAATTTATTTAATAATTAATACTATTTATATAGGGGTCCAATGAGATCTAGTGGTGGTAATAAACAATTTGGACGCTGGGGCTCATTAAAAGAAAGACGCAATATAAGTACTTCATCAAATAATAGTTACTCTTCACCAATGTTTCAAAATCAACAATATGGGCGTATGTCGATGGCTGATCCAGATTCTAATTCAGATAGTCCACATGAATTTCATAGAGCTGCTTTGTATATACTTGGTGATAAAACCCAAATGAAGGTAATACAATTAATCAGCTAATCAAAATGTATGTGTAACATTTACTGTCAGTTTTCTCAATATAATATTTATTTTTTAAGGGTATGAAAGGTGATTCTATCATGAAAATTGATTTTATCCCAATTGAGTATGCTGACATTCGTCATAGTAAGACTTCATTTAAAAAACTTATGCGAGCATGCGTACCTAGTTCTACTAGTAATGAACCGGAACATTCTTTTTACAAGTGAGTACAATTTAAAATATTTATATACATACATTCTTTGTAGGAGAGGGGTGCTCGTGGTGTACACACTACACAGCAGATGTGTATTGGTTGCTGCTAAATATCTTGTTTTCTGCTAGTGATATATAAAAATGTATATTTCGTCACTGGCATTCAGACTCCTCCCTTTTGTCTAACTATATTTAAATGTTCCATAGATTTAATTAGAAATTTCACACACTCAAACACTTTCTTTTATAGATATTAAATAACCGCACTTATACAGCATTTGTTTTTCAGTTGACAAAAAAGTTAAAAGTAAATATATTGCTTCAGTTATTATTTTAATTTATTAATCTAGTTAGTCTTAATACATTACAAGATTGTGACTTTAGTACTTTACTGTACTACAATATACTGATACACTATACTATAGTATACTATAAGAATAAACAGTCATGTTCAGAAAAAATATACAAACTTTGAGCACGTGCAATTTTTGTACTTGCTATCAGACAACGTACAGTTGTTCATGGCTGTCACGGTTGTGAATTGGTTCTTATAGTAAAAATACATTTTAAAACATAGTAAAAACCTAACAAATAGCTTCACGGATATATTTCTATTTTCTGGTTATTATCTTGACATTTTCCGGAGGTAAAATGGTCAATAGTCTAGAACATTCTTGAGATTCTTTATATAATGCTGAAAACATCGAAATTCCGTATTAGTATTTGCATAATATTTTAGTTTAAAAACAGATAAAAATGTAAAATTTGATTTTAATTTATAAAAATTCAAAAATCAATTTAACTATACTTTTTCTGGGATCCTGAGCACCTCTACTTTTACCTTTCTTAAATGATTTTTCATATCTAATTGACAAATATGTATTGTTTATTTAAATTTAAAAATGTATTTAACTGGATGTTCCTTTCTTCTATATGTCCTCTTAATCTACTATCATATAGCTTTATTACTGATGACAATACATTTAGAACATAAATCAACAGAAATATTGACTAAAGATCAACACCCATAAACAATTATGTTCAACCGGTAACCATATTGTGGTATATTAAAAAAAAATTGTATTTTTCCATTGATTTAGAATGATTGAAAGTTCAGACTGGTTACAACAGTTACGAAACATTATGCAATTGTCTGGGGCTATAGTAGATTTGATTGACGTACAAGGTTCTTCAGTCATGTTGTGTTTAGAAGAAGGATGGGACATAACTTGTCAACTGTCATCAATTGCACAATTATGCATGGACCCATATTATCGCACAATCGAAGGTTTCCGGGTGTTGGTTGAAAAGGAATGGCTTGCATTTGGTCACCGGTTCAGTCATCGCAGTAATCTGGCCACTGCGTCTCAAGCTTCTGGGTTTGCACCTACCTTCTTACAATTTCTTGATATTGTCCATCAAATTCATGGCCAGTTCCCGTTGTCGTTTGAGTTCAATGATTACTATTTGAGATTTATGGCATATCACTCAGTGTCTTGTCGCTTCCGGACGTTTTTGTTGGACTGCGAACTGGAAAGAGTAGAATGTGGAGTGGCTGCTGTTGAAGACAAACGAGGATCACTTACGTCGCACCACAAGAGTGTTGACACTGGTTCAGACGATGATATTGTTTATCCTGGTATTATTATTTTTCTTTAAATCCAAATTTTTGTAAATGTTATAACATTTAATGTATGTGATGAATTGTAGGAGGTCGTCTGGCTGGTAACAATATCTCGTCTCATTATGTACCAAATTTGGGACAATCTGTGTTTGATTACATTGAAAAACATAATGCCCGTACATCAATATTTTACAACTTCATGTACATGCCAAATATTGAACAACCGGTACATTTTTGACAACAGCACATTTATTATATAAATTTATGATTTTCTTGTTGTGTAGGTCCTCAGACCACAGTCATCATTGCCCAATTTGAACGTTTGGCAATATTACTTGAATGAAGAATTGGCTCACGGACCAAGTTATGATTTGGAGATTATTCAGATGGATATGCAACAAGAAGAAGAAGCTGAAGCTGCAGATGGTATTTCTATTAAAAACCAACGAAAAGTCATTACAACTGGGTATTGGTTTTCACATTTTTTTCTTCTCTTAATCAATACTAGATTTAAAATATGTTTATAATTTATTATGTTTGAATTTCATATCTATTTTTCTGTTATTTATCAGGTATAATATAGTAGAGCGATATATGCCAGATGCATTTAAATATCTGTTGGATGATATTCATAAATTGGAAACTGAACTAGGCCTTCTGCCACAAAAATGGAAGGTGCTCTGGGACAAATTAGAAATTCCTGTTACTGCAGAATCATTAAAGGTACAAATTATTTGTTGCAAAAGCTTTTTATTCAATTCAAAACCATTATTTTCTCTTTAGAGACACGCTTCGTTTAGTACACAACTGGTCAGATATCACGGGCGGTTGTTGCACAAACGATCCACAATAGAAATTCTCATGCGTGGCAAAGCAAGTAACACAACATCTACAAACACAGATACGAATCCACCTCATTCTCATCCACATCGCTTTGAAAAATATAACTTTACCACTCCTACCTACTGTGATTTTTGTTCTAGTCTTCTTTGGGGACCCGTAAAGGTAAATAAAATCATTATTTTCAGTTGGTATAAATACATTTATGAATCATTGCAAGAAGAATATATTATGTTCTTATGTTTTAAGATTGTAATATGTTGATGTTTATTTTTACTATTGGTGTACATATAACAATTAACAAAGTAAATTCAATATTGTAAGTTGGTTAGGATATTATACTCTTTTCAGAATAAGAAGGAACCAGGCGGCCACGGACAAAACTGGTTTTGTTACATAAATCTGGTGCGTTCTTATTCTGAAAAGAGTATAGATGTGTGTGTTGTTCATGAAAATCTAATCGTATTGTTGTCTTTCCCTACCTCAACAATAGATCTTGATTCTATATCAAAACTAAATTACATAATATTTATATATTTATCATTTGTACTTTGAGTTATTGTGTAGCATTATAAATATTTGTATTAAAAAATTTTCAACATGGCATTTTTTGTTATAAACTAAAGATCATTTCACAAACACATCTTAGCTCTCAAATGCACAGATTAAAATATATTCAAACATGCAATATTTGACGTCAAACCTTCAAATTTTTCACCCTTCATTACATATTTTTGTACATAATTATATTATTATGTATCATTTAAACATTTGCATAGTTATTTTATCACAAAACAAAATAATCATTAGTGTACTAGTGTAAATTTCTTATGCAGTTATAATCTTTCATTAAACTTTGATAAACACATGATATCTTTATAATGATGGCTTTGATTTTGTAGAAAAATGTATTTTTTTTTAGCTTTTGTTAGAGATTCAAAAAATTATCAAACCTAATTATGGAACAATGATGTAATTTTTAAACTTATACATATTTTAAATTTTGACATTTTACATTTGAATTTTTAGATAATTTAATATTTTTTATTTTATATAGACTGTATCTGATATTTTTTTTATAATTTTTTGAATACCTGCCTAAATCAATCAAGTTATTTTAGTTTTATTTTTGTAAGCTAAATTTGTACCTATAATATGATTTTTATTTTCGATCTGTTTTGATATTTTACCGTATTAAAAAAAAGTTTATTTTTTAAGGTTATATAATATTGTAACATAGTATATTAAACCCACAGTCCTAGTTAAAATAATTTTCATACGATTGTGGAAGTAAAATATTACACAGTGAAACTTCCATACAACAAACTTCCAATCAACTATATTTTCTGTTTTGCGAAATATTTTTCAGAACCAAACCAAAGTAGAACCACATTTATTAAATTCTATTTAAAGAAATTCTCTATAATACAAATTTTTCTTGGTGCTCACAAGGCTTTGTAATATGGAAGTTTTGCTGTAGTTATTATGTTTAAATTGAGTTATTATTATATCTACTTATCTTCTAAATATTTTCAGACTGGCATGAGATGTTGCGATTGTGGTTATAGTTGTCACGAAAAATGTTCAGAAAATGTACCCAAAAGCTGTACTAAATATAAGGCTGTTGCAGACAGAACGCTAACTAATCAAAATGCTAATAGAACATGTGGGGAAACAACTTCAGTGAATTCAAGTGAGTCATTATCTACCTTGTTTGTTTATCTTACAAATCATTAAAACATTATTCAACCGATGTAATGTTGTAGATATGAATGGTATCCATCAGCAATACTACGAGCAGTTCTCATCCAATGTCGCTGAGAACAGGACACATGAAGGTTATTTATACAAACGAGGAGCTCTCTTGAAAGCATGGAAACAACGTTGGTTCGTTTTGGACTCTATAAAACATCAGTTGAGGTACTACGACTCTATGGATGATTCTCATTGCAAAGGATATATAGGTAAACATAATATTATAGTTATACCGCGGAAATTGTGTTCTTAGCAATAACGTAAACAATTTTATTGGCTGTCCAAGATCACTAAAAAAACATCCTCCAAACACATTATATTTTTCCAGAATTAAATAAGTACTCTTTTTATAATTTTGAAATGGATTTATATGCCCTAATCAAACTTTAAATTATCGTCCAATAAATGTGAGCTCATGCATCAAACATTTTTAAGTATGATCTAAAAAATTATTAAAAAAAGTATCATATAATATGTTAGAGAAAAAAATACTTTTTCACATTATGTGTACATGTTTGTTTTATACCCTTTAAAAAACCACAAAAATGTAGTAAATCCATAGACTTCTTGAAATAGACAGAACATTTGTGCCAAGGACTGGGAGGCGTGGTCGTGCCAAACGGATTAAGAAAGATATCTTGAGTTTTATTATAAGAGTGAGAAAAATGGCACTGTTCCGAGGACTGCCAATGCATAGCTCTAATAGCTTCTGATCCTCGTAACAAGCTTTACCATTGCACGCGTTATCATACCTAATGTTCCGTCTATTTATATAAGTCTTTGTGTAAATTGGTCAAACAAAATTTATGATAGTTAACTATCTACCTCTGATAATAATTTTATGAAGGAGGTAAAACAAATATTAGTGAATATGAATTTATCGATAATACAGATTGTAGAATACAAAATATTATATTGTGGCTAAAACTACAGTAATATATAAAACATTTTTTCTCAAAACCAGTCAGTAAATATTTTCCAAAGTAAATTTTTGCTAACTTTGTGTATTCAACAGATGAAATATGACTTTAAAATCATAAAATATATTAACTAAAATTTAAAAAAATGTTCTTATTTTAATTCACAACATTATGAAACATACTTTGTGGTTTCTTAGAATTTAATACAATCACCATGAAAATATAATATGCAAAATATGCATACATCCGCTCCCTGTTAATGATATAGTTAATTTTTCAAAAAGTGTGATATAATACTCACATCAGTCGATGTTGATTATTTTATGTTTAATTTTATTAGCAATTGGCGGGCCAAACTATGTTAGTAAATTAATTCATAATTTGTCAAATTTAGATCTTGCTGAAGTAATGTCCGTGTCTCAAGCCAACCCAACACCTGGCGCACCTAAAAAAACTGATGACAAATCTTTCTTTGATGTAAGTAATTATTTTTGTTTTCTCACCAAATGTATTTAATATAGAAAACAATGTTCTTTGTATTATATCTATAGTTGCGTACAAACAGAAGAACTTACAATTTCTCTGCTAGTGATATGACAACTGCCCAAGAATGGATAGAAAAAGTCCAAGCTTGTTTGCAATAATCAACCCACTGTCTTAAAAAAAAAAAAAACGTTTAAAATATACACATTACTTATCCGTTGTTTAAGTTAATTTATTTATTTTTCATTATAGTTATTATTTTCCCTTTTTTTTTTTATACATGGAATATTTTTTGTTTCCCATATCACTGATGTGAAAATAATATGTAATTGTGGTCTTATCGTTGAATTGAAACGAAATGTGATAGTTTTGTATATTGTAACTATTTATTTTTCACTTCTTTTATTGTTTTTATTACTACTACTATTATTATTATTATTATTACCATATGCCTACGTGTTGTAATATTATTATGATTTATTATTATATTTATATACTAAATAACAGACTCGAGGGTCTTTCCAAAACGGGCATAATTTATTAACTTCTCAAATATCAAATAATTATTTCCTCTCGATTATTGAACTCTGATTAATAACTGAAAAAGTTTAAAATTGATGTTCAAGATACAAATTAAACCTAGAAAAATAATTTTATATTTGTTATTATATATATATATATTTCATGACTAATATGTCAGGGCTTCGTAGATATAAGTTGTTACGATTATTTTTGTTCATTAGTTATCAGTTGACATTTTTTTTTTTTTAATTTTGTATTTAATGTTACACAAAGTCTATTATTAATTAAAACATTTGTCGTGAACAGTTTTTACTTTTTGTATATTTGTTATGACATTTTTTTTTGGAAAGCTCTTGAGGGAATACAAATTTATTACATTTTAATTATTACCCGAAAGTTACCAACATTTGACGTATATGAATAATTTTTTTTAAAAATATATTATTATCTTAGTCCAAAAGCTGTACATTATTTGTTATAAATATACAATTATATTTTCAATTTTAATTTGTTTGATCGATCGCATCACATACATTATTCTGTTGGTCGATTTAACAAAAAATAAAAAGTACTCAATTTTGTCCACATCCGCTATTCTTCCATTAATGTTTATTGGTAAAAAAAATAAAAATAAAATTGTGATTTTCAAATAATAATTACCAGTTTAATAATGCTGAAAAATTTCCCAACTCTTGGTATTCACAGAAAAATGAGAATAAATAATGGAAAACTGTAGACAAAAGCTCAGATATCTGATGTTGATGTTGAATGTGTATTTTTTTTTTTTCTACGAGTCGTTTTAAGACTGGCGATAAAATTTGATACAACCGTTAAGTTCTTGTTACTAATACTAATAAGAAAAGCTCACTCTGCGAGCGTGCTAAATTCCCAGTTTCTAAACGTATTATAAAACTATAATTTTATATACAAATTAAAAAGAACTGGTAACTGGCAAGTATGAATCTATATTGAATACTCAAATGTTGATGTTTTTTAATACTGACCAGTAAAAATAATAATTTACTTTGAACAGAACCGTTGTAAAAACTCAATACAAACAACCGTAATTATGTACAGTAACTAGTCTATTAATAAATAACTTAATATCAAAAATCATAACTATGTACTGGTAACGTAACTAACAGACGGGCGGACAGACACAACAGGGATACAAGGTATTCTAAACACAAGTTTAGAAGCCTAATTTTGTTTTAAAAGTCTTGATCTTTTATAAAATGAAAATAGTGTATGAATTCATTATAGCAGGTACACAAGTAATTATTTTCGGGTCAATGATGTAGATTATATCTTTTTTTGTAGCATAGTTTTGCATAAAGTACATCATAAATTACCTGGTTTACTTATTATAATATATAATTAAAATAAATATGACGATAAAGGTATTTAAATAATGACCACGTTTAAATAATGGAATACATTTTTATTGAATGTGATATAATTAAATACACTTATTATGTTCTATCGATTTTCAAAGTAATTCACTTGTTTTGGGTTCCCGGCCCCTCAAAAGAAGAAAGAATGAAGTTAGGAAGAATCACCATTGCTATCAATGGTATTCCTTATGACTACTATAAGATATAGTCAGTAGCCAGAACAATGGATTTTGAATTAAATTAATATAAAACAGAACATTCGCGACAACATAATTAATTACTGAACAAGATAGATTATGCCATCTCCAAGTGGTTGTTTTTCTGATGGACTGTCACCGTATCCGATGATTTTCTTTTCTGTGTCGATGAAAAACATTGTTTCCGGGGTCATCACGACGCTGTTTTCCGTTGGTTGTAAGTAATTGGGTATCAATCTAGGTCCCAAAACGGGATCTTTGTACCTCCATAGACTAATTTTGTTGGATGCTAGTCAACAAAAAAAGTTGTTCACACAAATTAATTACATTACAATAAATTCAATCACAAGCAAACTTAATCTAACTAATAGACCACTAGAGCGCCCAGAAAATAAATCTACAGGTCCAACATGCAACGTATAAAATTCAGTTATTAGTACCCATGCTCATTTTTTTAAATTTTTTTTCAAAATATGTTTTAAGGCAGTAAGTGTGAAAAAATTGTAAGCTAAATAAAAATTACAAAAAACAATTGTTTTGGTTTTTTTATTTTATTTTAATTAGTATGTTTTTAAAGTTATTTGTTTATATGAATGATGAAGTCCCCCACCTTCTCGGGCAGTAAGTACTCATGACCAGCATTTGTTGTTCCACCATATTCAGTGTAAAACATACCTAATAATAAAAAATTGAAAACAATACATTTTTTCGACAACTTTAAAAAAATGATTTTTTTTTCAGATTTTTGGTAAAACTTCTAAAGTAAAAAGGTGGGTAAGTGGATGTCGCTCTGCTGTACAGTAGGTTACAAGTGGGTCACTGTATAATGGATGGTATTAAATTTGAATTCAATGATACAATATCATTGTATAAGAAAAACGATTCTGAGCGAAGACGGTATGTCAGCCTAGGTTTAAGACATATTATATAAATATATATGGTATTAAAAAAAAATTGACCTATAATGAATACCAAATTAATCATATCACAATATCCATTAAGTACTTATAACACGTTATACATCAATAACAAACCCTGATACTATCATAGATATATAATATAGTCAGTGCCGCAATAACCGGGTGTGTTGCGTGTGTCAAACACACGGGCCCAGGGCCCCAACTCATAATGGGGGGGCCCAATGATAAAAATTAAAAAATATATTGAAATAAAAAAATAAAACCATTTTATTATTAATAAAGATTGAACAATAGATCGGTTTTGTTTTGTACACAACATTATCATACAACAACGTTTCTTTTGTGGCCTGTATAACCGAAATTAAAAATAGAAAAAAGAAAAATAAGACTAAAAATATAGATTAAACTAAGAGTATAGATTTGCTCCATATTGAAAGACAACAAACAAATGATATTCACATAGAAAATATAATTGACAATTTTGCAAACAAAAGGCAAGTAAAATGAATTTTTGAAAGTGCGAGTACCTACAGTATTTATTTTTGAGTTTCTAATTGACTGTTAATGTATGGTATGCATTGGCGCAAATAGTGGGAGGGCTTGGGGGACTTAGTCCATCGAAATTTCGGTCAAGTCTCCCCAGTTCAAAATCTAGTAGTTAGTACTAATTTTTTTATTCTGTGGTACTAAGAAATATGGCCTATGGGGAAGGGGCTTGAGTCCCCCCAAACAATTTGAGGCTATGGTGGTATGTTCAATTTATTTGTTATTTGATAATTATATTAAATATTTTAAAATTAATAAAAAAGCTACAAATTATTACATTTATTTATTTGTAAATACATAGGTACTAATAGGTACCTACGTGTTTTAATTATGTTAACCTTATTTTGTATGAGTAAAAACTCAAAATTCCAAAGTATGTTTTCAAATTTGGAAAAATAAATTTTACAATAGTCAATAGGTAAATTTCTCATTAATTTTATTTACACACGGGCCCAAATTGGTGTAGTTGCGGCACTGAATATAGTGTACTTTAGAAGGTTCAAGTACCCACGAATAGTATTATAAACTCACAACAAAATAACTAAAATAGGTATGCTACGTTTTTTAATATGTAATTTCGTCCCAAATTTGAACTTAAAATGACCATAAAAATAAACTGTGTTTGTGTATTTTTTAGATTTTTTGGTAACAGAATTAACTACTTACGAGAAATCTTGTTTTAAATTTTCAATCCTTAGCTATAAAAACTGAACATTTTATAATTTATTAATTACGATGATTGATAATTTTCGAGATTTTGAAAAATTCTGTCAAAATTCGATCTTTAAATGCTTATAAAAAAAAATTGTGCTAATGTATTTTTAATATTTTTCAACTGATATTGTAACAATATATCAGAAGCCTTGTATTAAATTTTCACTTTTTGGCCCAACAGATAAAACTTTATGGATATTCATAAAAAAAAAACTAAAAAAAATTTAAAACTGAAAATTTTAGTAAATAGCTCAAAAAGAGTCAAAATATTTTCAAAATTGTATAGTGTATAGGAAATGCTAATATAAACATTCAGTGAAATTTTCATGTGTCTATAGTTATTCGTTTATGAATTACAACAAAATAAGGAAATCGCTATATGAGAAATCGAGTGAATATCCAATGTTGTAAAAATTTGAATTTCAAATGCTCATAAAAATTTAATTTGACTTTCTTATAGAATTTTTTTTTTGATAAATGTAGGAAATCTTATAAAGAACCTTGTATTACATTTTCATATCTTAGATTTAAAAATTTTTATGAATTTCTAACTCGAAATAATTTGCAAATTTTCGTGATTTTTTCTGTTGGGCCAAAAGTGTAAAAATTTAATACAAGGCTCCTGATATATTGTTACAATATCAGTTGAAAAATATTAAAAATACATAGGCACAATTTTTTTTTTATTAGCATTTAAACATCGAATTTTGACAGAATTCTTCAAAATCTCGAAATTTATTAATCATCGTTATTAATAAATTATAAAATGTTCAGTTTTTATAGCTAAGGATTGAAAATTTAAAACAAGATTCCACGTAAGTAGTTAATTCTCTTACCAAAAAATCTAAAAAATATACAATCACAGTTT